CCCCCCCCCCCCCGTGCCAAGTCGTGCTTCTGCTCCTTGGGGGGTGAGGGCCGCGTACAGCCACCCAACTTTCTGCCCTCCCTCCTCAATTCCTGCCACTTGCCCCCCTCGTCTTCCCCGCAGCCAGGGGACGCAGAGTGGCAGGCTGGGCAAAGGGAGCACAGACCCGCGTCCCGGTCGGTGGCAAGAGGAGCAGAACTGCCCACGGGGGTGCGGCACCCTCTCCCTGTTCACCTGTGATGAGCGGGCAGGAGAACAAACTGAGCTGGCGAAGGCTGGGAAAGGCCTGCAGCTGGCACAGGAGCCGGTTTGTGGCGTATGGGTAGCAGTCCAGGCAAAGTTTCTGGAGGCAGCAGCCGAAGAAAAGCCGCAGGCTGCGTGGGTGGAGCAGGGCCCGCTGCGCCATGTGCGCCAGGAGGAGCTCAGCCAGCCCTGGGGTCAGGGTGGCCAGGCTGCTGCAGTACTGCTTGCTAGGAGCTGGAGGGGAAGACAGGCCAGCGGACAGCTCGAAACCACGGGGGTGGGGCTGGGGGCGGAGAGGGAGGGTGGGCAACAGGGAAGGCCTCTACCTGAAAGGAGGGCAGCGGTGCCCTGCAAGGACAGCTGGAACAGCGAAGGCATGGGAGGGGGCACGTGGGCTGCAGCGGGCGCTGGGCCAGGCTGGCTCCTCTCCTGCTGGCCCTGGGCAGCCGCTTGCTGGAGGCGCTGCTCGGCTGCCTGGGCTACCGCAAGGGGCAGTTCCAGGGGTCCTGGGCTGCTCCCCGCTGCCTCCCTGGGGGCAGAAAGGAACAGGTCCTTCGAGCAGCCCCTGCTCCCCAACCCCCGCCCAAGAGGGCTCGTTCTCCACCTGCCCACGATAGCAGCTGGCGCCCCCCACCAAGGCTGAAAACACCCCTACCGCAGCCGGTTGCCCTCTTGCGGCCACTGATGCTGAGGCCCTGCGGTCCCTCCTCCAGCGTGTTCCCAGGCAGCGGGCAGGACGCCTTCTGACACAAGGAAGAGGACTGGGTAAGCAACTGCCTCTCCAACGCACCCCCCTCCTGGGCCAGGAGCCCTCTGAAGCTCCAGGCAACCAGGCTCTGCCCCTCCCTGCGCAGGAGACCTCCCGTGTGCGACAGGGAAAGGGGGAGCCTTGGGGCCGGGCGACTGGCTGCCTCCAAGGCCATGGACGGACCTGGCGGAGCCCGCTCTTCCACCAGAGCCTCTGGTCCCCTGGCAGCTGCCGAGTGGTCCTGCTCCATGGGCTCCTCAGAGTCCAGCTTCTGCCCCCTGCCTGTCAGAGACCCCAGAGTGGACGTGATGAGGGGCAGGGCGCTTCTGCCAGCCAGCGTCCCCTTCCTCCCGGCTGCTTCTCCTTGAAGCTCCCCAGCCAAGAAGGGTTGTGCTCCCAGTCCCACCCTCCAGGCCCAGGGTGAGGGGGAAGGAGTAGAAGGCAGCCGACACGGGGGGGGGGGGGGGCTTTGGCCAGATGCCGGAGGAAGCCAGCTGCACTCCCGGATTTTTTTTTTTTTTTTTTTTTTTTTTTTTTTTTTTTTTTTTTTTTTTTTTTTTTTTTTTTTTT